CCCTCCATTTTCGTTTTCCCTATGCGCAGGACTGTAAGTAGAAGTATGAGGATACGGGTGGATCGGATTTCATGAAAAGATGCGTCCGCCGACTCCTGGGACCAGTAAGGACACGTAGGGTTGTCTAATTGAGTAGACACGTGTCCGTAACACCCTTTCGTTAAACTCCGGTCGGACGCCGGGGGACTGGGTTGTTACAATTGGTATCAGAGCAGGGGTTAAGATCCCTTAGTGTCATCCTAAGGGGTCAGCAGTTCAATGTTTTCAAAAGTTTTAAGTTCAATGTTTTCAAAAGTTAATCGGTCTTGTTTGGAAAGAGAATTATTATGATTGAGAAAGTTTTAGAATATTTTAAAAATGTGAAACGATTTCAAAACCACCCGGTGTATATGTACTTCGACTATGGTTCTGATTAGATCTTTATTTCCGGGTGTATTTACGTGACCAATAAGAGTGGAGGATGTTGTGCATGCATTACGGGCGTAGGGGCAGCCGGGAGTATGCCCGTAAGCTTCATCATGATGAGGAGAGTAACTGGTGTTGCATATGTTCTCGGATCCTGTGGAGAAGTTCAAGGAATTTTCGTTCAGGTTTCTTTTTGAGCAGACAGTAAAGTGTAAGGTGTTGATGCCACATTTCCGGAGGATAGCAATGCAGGTCGCATACTACAAGGTCAGGTGCAGTCTCAGGTTTCACCGAGGAAGCATGGCCGCCCATGCAAGATGCCGAGTGATGGTGGGGAGCCTTCGAGGGTGTTCACCAGGAAGTGTCAGTGTGGGACCGTGCTTCAGATTGCTTAGGAAGGTTGGTCACTTGCTGGATATACAGAGGACTTCTTCGACCAAGCTAAGAGGGCCAGGCAAAGACTGCGGAAGAAGGGTGTCGGTTTTCTAAGGCTAGGGCGTTAGGACACTGTCGATGAGGTGGTATCGAAGTATGATGATGTGCTGGTTTGGCGAGTGTCGGTTTGGTGTTTGTCGGGTTGGCTAGTTCTCGATGGTATATGTGATCGGAGATGAGTTTGCGACCTCCTAAACTATTGTAGTCACACACCATTTTAATTATTGGATTCATTCGTTAGCTTTTAAAAGATCATGATCAAAGTTATTATGCCCTGCGTGTCGTCCGCGAATGATATGTGATAAAGTGAGTTACTGGAGTTAGGCCGAGAGTTTGGAGTACGGGACTCGATCATTTGTGAAAATTCAAGGTGTTACCATTTAGGAGTTCCTCAGTGGACCTATAAAGAGTTTCTCCGGAGAATATATGCACTATGATGGGAATGAGAGATCACCAAGGTAGCTTGCCCGAGCTGGGTTGTATGCTCGTGTGTTGAAATAGGAGGATGGTGGAGGGTACAATATCACTGCGCAAACGGAGTTACTGGTACGAGAAATACATAGGAGGTTGTTAGGGATCAGGTATGCTTGATCGAGAGCGGGGGGGAGTCAAGAACAAAGTTGAAAAGGACGACGCTGATTGAGGATACTCTTGGGATAAAATGGTTGTTGTTCATAAAGAGATAGTAGGGCTTTCTCGGGCTGATGTGATGGAGCAATGGGGCTGACATTCCATATAAATAGGCATAAGATGTATGGAGTATCAAAGAAAGATTACCCTTGGGACAAGATGATAAATGATGGTGGTTTCAGGGATTCTACAGAGGATGTAGGTTAGCTGGGAAAGGCAGAAGGGTGAATCGATGGCAGATTACTGCAATGATTACATGCTCTACAATGGAGATGAGACACCGCAACATTGGACCTTATTGCGTGGTCGCTAAGTACATGGTGCTCAACGCGTGTGGCGTGCATGTGTGCGGGGCTGGTTAAAGGAAAGCGGAGAAGTTAATTACCATTAGTGGAATCGGTGTACGATAATAACTACCACTCGAGAATAAAGATGACCCCATACGAGACTTTGGTGGGAGGTGGTGTTAGATCACTTGTTGAAACCGAAGTGGGGGAGAGCTAGGGGGCTATAGCCGGGAATTAACCTAGAAAGCTACTAAGCAAGTGGAAATATTTGATGGAGAACTAGATGAAGCTCACCACAGTCTACAGGTATACCAACAAGCGTCATAAGGATATGGAGTTTGCGAGGGTGATAAGGTATCTTCGGACGAGAATGCTATGGAATTAGTACGGAGTACAAGCTAAGGGCCATATGGTTATGGAGCACGGGATCGTTCACGATCATGAGAAGCATAATGAGAATTGGTTAAAGTCATCAGTTAATTTTTCAGAAGTCATGGGATGGTAAGTGTCAGGGTTCGCCATGGTACATCAAGAAATCTGAGATGTAGGGAACTAGAAAACGGTAGTAAGAGAAATGAAATGGAGTATCTTCTCGGGGTAAGAAGGTTGATGTTCATAAAGGGATAGGAGGACTTTCTCGGGCTGATGTCTACACGTCCCACTAGCGAGCCATGGTGGGTGATTACAACAACTATACATACCGCGATGGAATATGACATATGGAGGTACCAGTATGAGGCTGGAAGAACGGGTCATGTGAGGTCATGTAGGCTCGATCGAAAGTGGGGGAGATCTAGAGTTCAAGTTGAAAAGAGATCCAAGGTTTACATGACAAGTGGAACGATCTTATATGGGCTAGGAGGAACACAAGGCAGCCGACAAGTGGTGCTAAGAGACACCTTTGGATGGTGGAATCCACAGATGAGGATGCCTGAGCCGAAGTACATGTGGGCATAAAGGGTAAAAGTATATCAGAGTAGCGCAGCGGAAGCATGGGGGCAAGCCGGCAGCACACTACAATAGAGGTTTGATTCACGATGATACCAAAAATTGGTCGAGTAAAAGATTGTAAAAGTACCATAGAAGACATTCGGGAATCAGTAGTAAGAGTACTTCCCACTATAACTATAAACAGAGTATGGGCGAAGTTGGAGAACTGCAAGGAAATGTTGTCTTTAGAGAATGGACGAATGATGGATCTCCGTAAGGTTAGTGAGCCAGGATGTTCAGAAACCGGTATGGAGTAAAGTGACGCGTGATGCCCACGTGGTTGGGGATGTTTGGGGTTTGAGTTCTGACACGCAGAATTCGGGGACGAATTCTATTAAGTGGGGGAGATTGTAACAACCCATGACTTGGCCCAAAAATTTTCATAAGGCAGATGGGCCTGTCTACGGCCCAATAGGGTTAAAACCCTAGATTTTCCTTCTCCTTCCTATATAAAGGGACTGCCTCCTTCTCTTTTGCCTCATTTCACAAAACGCGAAGCGAAGCTCTGCAGAAAAATCCCGGGAGACACGAAAACCCTAGCCGTCAACTTCTTCTGCGCCTCCTTCTTCTTCTTCTTCTTCTTCTTCTTCTTCTTCCCTTCGCGATCTCTCTCTTCTCCATCCTCGCCGTCCGTCTCTTCTCTTCTCACCGACGTGGTGGTGGTGTAGCCGACGTGGAGGTTGCGGTGGTGGTGCCGCGTGATGGTGATGTAGAAGTGTGTGTGGTGGTGACTAGATCTCGTCTCTCTGGTCCTCAGATCCNCTTCTTCTTCTTCTTCTTCTTCTTCTTCTTCTTCCCTTCGCGATCTCTCTCTTCTCCATCCTCGCCGTCCGTCTCTTCTCTTCTCACCGACGTGGTGGTGGTGTAGCCGACGTGGAGGTTGCGGTGGTGGTGCCGCGTGATGGTGATGTAGAAGTGTGTGTGGTGGTGACTAGATCTCGTCTCTCTGGTCCTCAGATCCAGATCCCGTTTCCAGATCCCGTTTTCCAGATCTAGGCTAAGGTGAGGTGATTCGAAAACCAGATCTATCTTCTTAATCTCTATTCTGATTGATGCGAGAATTAGGGTTGGATAGTCCTTGTTTGAAAGTTAAGTTGATAGATCATAATGAGAGTTAGGTTGTTAGATGAATGAATCATGATGCATAAGAACCTTCACACTGTTTAAATGGGACTTAATGAACTGCCTTGTGTTGATGTGGATAATGATTGGTATGAATGATTGTGTGAGTGATTTGTGTCCCATTCTATGATGATGAATGAAAGCTAGGTTGTTAGAAAGAAGTGAATGCTTAAGTTGATAGATTTGTTAGTTGGTAACAGTTGTTAATAATGATGAATGTAAAGTGATCTGCTTATAGTTTCTAAAGTTAAAGATAGATGAATATGAAGTGATATCTCTTGGTCTTGATGTATAAGATTATGAATGTTATGTGAATTGTGTGAGACACCGATAACGGGTGGCGTCTAGAGTCGAGTATAAGAATGTAAACAAGAATGACTTAAGGTGAATTAAGTATGAGGATGAGAATGATAAGAAGTATGAGTATGAGTACGAGTACGACTATGAGTATGAGTACGAGTATGACTATGAGTATGAGTACGAGTATGACTATGAGTATGAGTATGAGTACGAGTATGACTATGAGTATGAGTACGAGTATGACTATGAGTATGAGTATGAGTACGAGTATGACTATGAGTATGAGTAGGAGTATGAGTACGAGTATGAGTACGAGTATGAATACGAGTATGAGTATGTATGAGTATGAGTATGAGTATGAGTATGAGTATGAGTATGAGTATGAGAATGAGAATGTGTATAAGTATGAGAATGAGAACGTGTAAGAGAATGTGAATGAGAACGTGTAAGAGAATGAGAAAGTGGATAAGAACATGTATGAGGATAAAGTCGTGTCAATGAACTTGCTTGAAGTCCTGTTTGGACCACCGAGAACGGGTGGGCGTCTAGAGTCTAGGATGTGTAACCTGCGGGACAGTAGCCTAACACGAGGTACCCGCAGGGGGCCCACGGGACAGTAGCCTAACACGAGGTACCCGTGGGCGAGAAGTGAATGGCCGTGCAAGGACGGCGTACGCAGAAGAGACCTCTGGGAGGGACCTGCGGGATAAGAAATAGGCGCCTTAAGATCGAGTCAAACATGGCTATTAAGACCGGGGTGGCAGACAGTGCTGGGAGCCAACGAGCTGCAACTCGGATAGTCATTTAGGAAGCTGTAGGGGGGACGGATTTCCCGAGAGAGGGCGCCCCTTCCAGGTTAGGCCGGAACGTGTAGGGACATCCGTAAACGGCTATAGGTCCTTAAGTCTAGGTTGATTGATGAGTCTAGTTTATAGATTGTTTGCGTGATTGAACCCATGTGAAGCAATGACTGAGTTCTTGCGGTGTATGAATGCTAGGGTGTTAGAATTCCATGTTGAGATGCCATAGTATGGTTTGTATGTTGCATATTGAATGTAGTGGCTGGTCGGTCCTGTTGCCGTATGAGGTAGTGTAGAGTATTATGCGGGCAGGCTGGGCTAGAGTCACTTCACTGAGTAACCCCAATTGCTCATCCCTCCATTTTCGTTTTCCCTATGCGCAGGACTGTAAGTAGAAGTATGAGGATACGGGTGGATCGGATTTCATGAAAAGATGCGTCCGCCGACTCCTGGGACCAGTAAGGACACGTAGGGTTGTCTAATTGAGTAGACACGTGTCCGTAACACCCTTTCGTTAAACTCCGGTCGGACGCCGGGGGACTGGGTTGTTACANCCCTCCATTTTCGTTTTCCCTATGCGCAGGACTGTAAGTAGAAGTATGAGGATACGGGTGGATCGGATTTCATGAAAAGATGCGTCCGCCGACTCCTGGGACCAGTAAGGACACGTAGGGTTGTCTAATTGAGTAGACACGTGTCCGTAACACCCTTTCGTTAAACTCCGGTCGGACGCCGGGGGACTGGGTTGTTACAGCCTGAAGAGCGTCTACCATTATGCGCTGGAAATCTCCACCACCTGAATAAGTAACTCTGGAATGGCAAGATACTCTGGAAAGGGGCAGCTGGGGAACTAGCAATGTCAGCTTCCTCAACAGGTGCATCTGTAGCGCGAGATTCAGCACGTCTACAGTGTCTAATTGGCACAGTAAAGGAGAATGAGGTTACGAGTGAAACCGCGTCTGGTAGGGTTACCTCTGATGTCCGTGACACCCCTGTTGGGTAGCTCGATCAAGTGTTGACCTGCCTCGTCAAAGAAAGACTAAAGGAGACTGTCCTTTAGCCACTGTCCACTCCTTAAATGGGTCTCATCCTTAGAAGAGCTCTCACTTCGGACGATGGTGTGATCCAACCGAATCTCAAAATGCTGGAAGATTGCTGTGACAATACTCCCAACTGATTTCCTCTTCGAGCTCGTCTCAGTATGTAGTTTCGTATCAGGTGATTGGAAAAAATATCTCCTAAGTTAACCACATTGTCTATGGGTAAAGGATCAACCATCTTCCTCATCGAGTATTAGAGCAGTGTCCGCTCCTTTATTCTCACATTTTTTCTCCATCTTGCATAACAAGTGTCTTTAAGGACCTTGACGAAGTAGCATAAAGTCGGATGGCGGCGGATTTTGAGTAAAAAAAAAACGAAAGCAAATTAGGCACATAACTCCTTAATATGGGGAAATTAAGGCACAATGCAAGAAAACTCAGGGTTTTGGTGGGGATGTTCATTGTGTTCCTTATGTTCCAAACCAGTACCCACATTATCTTCTTCTCCATATCCACTCTCACGCTCACCATAGTTCCTACTACATGAGCTTTCATTCTCAACTCTTGGTAGTTGCTCGGTTATTTGAGCTATTTCCAATTTTTAGGTGTCCTCTACATGCAAAATACTTCTTCTTTGTTTTTTATCCACCGATGTTAGATTAACAAAAAAATCTTCATCATCCAAAATATATGATTGTCTCTTAGGTTCCACTACCAGTGGAATGTAAACAAATTTCAACCTCTTCGTAAACGGATTTATTCCCATCTTCCTGCATATTTTCTCCTTCAACAACAAATAAGTGATCTCCTCCAATGATGATGT